AAGACAAATGATTCGTACCCTTTTGGCATGTTTTCTCAGACTCTCTATCAGACCGTGTTCAAATTTTAGCAGCTTTACCTGTTATAAAGTCATAGATATATAAAGCACAGAAACAGATTCTTCAGACCAATTCTTCCATACTGAGCAGATATTCTACATTAATCTAGTTCCATTTTTCAACATTTGGCCCCTATTCCTCGAGATCCTTCTTATTCATGCATCCATCCAGATGGCTTTTAAATGTTGCACCAACATTGTACCAACATCCACCTCCTCCGCGAGCAGTTCCTTCCATACACGTACCACCACTCCCAAATGGTTGCCCCTGAGATATCTTTTAAATTTTCCTCGTTTCACCTTAAAACTATGCCCCCTTGTTTTGGACACCACTACTTTGGGGAAAAGACCTGAACTTTTCCCTATCCATGGCCGTCATAATTTTGTAAACTTCTATAAGGTCACCCCTCATCCTCCAATGCTCCTGGGTAAATAGCCCCAGCCCATTCAGCCTCTCCCTGTAGCTCAAACCCTCAAAACCTAGCAACATCCTTGTAAATCTTTTCTAAACTCTTTCAAGTTTCACAAACTCATTACTACAGCAGGGAGTTGAATTGAAAGCAGCATTACAAAAATGGAGAATGACCTGTACAGCTACAACATAACCTACCAAATCCTATATACAATGCATTGCAGAATGAAGGCAAGCATCCCAAACAGCTTCTTAACTACCCTGTGTACCTGTGACTTCAATTTCAACGAACTATGGACCTATACCTCAAGGTGCAACACTCCTTAGGACCCTTCATGAAGTATATAATTCCGGCTCTGAGTTGCCATACCAAAATTGAGCACCTCACATTTATCAAAATCAAACTCCATCTGCCACTTACCGGCCCAATTTCCATCTGATCAATGTCCCTCTGTACTCCGAGGTAACCTTCGTTGCTGTCCACTGCACGTCCAATTTTCATGTCATCTGCAAACTTACGAACCATACTTCCTATATTTACATCCAAAATTATTTCCACAATTAACAAAAAGCAGTGGACCCAAAACCGAACCTTGTGGCACACCACTGGTCAATGGCCTCCTTTCCAAAAAGCAACCATCCAATATTACATTCTGTGTCCTACCTTCGAACCAATTTTGTATATGCATAGCTAGTTCTCCCTGTGTTCCATGTGATCTAATCTTGCTAACCAGTCTACCAAGATGAACCATTTCGAACGACTTCCTGTAGTGCATATAGACAACATCCACCACTCTGCCTCCATCAATCTTTTTCATTACTTCTTCAAAAACCTGTCAATTTAGTGAGAGAGGATTTCTCATGCTTAAAGCCATGTTGACTATCCATAATCAGTCCTTGTCTTTCCAAATATATGCAAGTTCTGTCCCTCAAAATCCCATCCAATAACCTTCTCACCACTGTCGTCAGACTCACTGGTCTTTAGCTCTCTGGCTTTTCCTTAGCACCTTTATTAAATAATGGCACCATTTTATCGAATCTCCAGTCTCCCAGTACCACACCCGTGGCTATTGATAATACAGATATCTCATCGAGGGGACAGCAATCCCTTCTCTAGCTTCCCACAAAGTTCTACGGTACAACTGAATAGGTCTTGGGGATTTATACACCTTTATGCATTCTCAGACGTCCGGGATGTCCTCTTCTGTAATATAGACCCTTTTCAATATATCACGATTTGTTTCCTCAAGTTCTCTAGCTTCAATATCCTTCTCCACAGTAAATACAGATACAACATATTTATTTAGTATCTGTTCCATATCCTGCGGTTTCAAGCATAGCTGATCTTTAAAGAGCCCGATTTTTTCCCTTTTGTCCTTAATGCATTTATAGAATCTCTTTGGAATCTCTTCAACCTTAACTGCCAAGGCAATCTATATCCCCTTTTTTTCCTCATGATTTCCTTCTTGAATGTACCGCTCTAGCCTTTACACACTTCTCGGAGGATCCACTCAATCCCTGCTCTCTGTACCTGACAAATTTCCTTTTTCCTACCCCCACCCACTCCTGCTTACTCGTTTAAATCCTTTTGAGCAACTTCAGCATATCTCCCCACCAATATTTTAGTGCCTTTCCAATTCAGATACCACCCGTCCTTCTTATACAGGTCACTTGTACCCCAGAAGAAATTTCAATGATCCAATAATGTGCCTTCTTCTCCCCTGCACCAGCTTCTCAGCCACGTATTCATCTGTTCTATCCTGCTATCCTCCTCTCACGAGCACATGGCACCGGGAGTGATCCAGATATTACTATCTTTGAGGACCTACTCTTTAACGTCCAGCCTAATTTCATATATTCTCTCCTTAGAATGTCACCATTTTCTCTCCCTCAACGACTTCCTGCTGGGCACTCTCCCCTTTGAGAAAATTCTATCCTTGACCCTGGAACCAGGGAGGCAGCACACAATTCGGATGAATGGTGAAATGTCTATATGTGCCTCTGTCCAGGGATTCCCCTATTAACAATTGATCACTTGAAATCTAACGTCCCCCTCGTTACAGTAAAGCCAATCTCAATACCATAAACCCAAATGTCAGGGTTACATTCCCATTGGGTCAATGCCTCCACCAACCACATTTTCTGAAAGAGCATACTTATTGAAGTGGAGATATCCCCAGGAGACTCCTGCACTGCCTGCCTAGATACTTATCCTACCTTTCTTAGCGGTGACCCACCTACTGTATTGTATCTGCAATTTTTCTACCTTCCTGAAACTGCCATCCATCACACCACTTGGCACCTGTAAATTCCTCATTGTTTCTGACTACTACAACAACAGATCCATGTGGTCGGATAGGATTCACAATCAAATGTACATTTTGCAGATATAATCATCAGAAACATTGAAATTCTCCCTAATATCCCCTATCCGACGGGAAGAGAACATCACTCTCCTCAAGACCATCTTTACACCCTAACAATCCACAAACCTATAAAAATGCACAATCTGACTGCTCTAAAAACCATTGGTCCCGGACAACTTAGTCCCTATGTCACATTCAAAAAAAAATTAAACAAGAGACAGACCTCAATAAAATAAATGTTAAAAATAAAACTCAGTCACTGTTGCACATGTACAAGAGCAAACAGATTATAGCTTATGAGATGTCAGAAAAAACACTTAGCTGATCCCCAGCTGTGGGCAGTTCCCAGTAAGGTCAGCTGTGAATTTTATGGCTTGTTTATATTTCTTGGACAGAACTCCGATATCCAGAGATTCTTGTAATTTCACAGTCAGTTAGTTGCTCACTCCTGTTTCTTTCTGAACTCTTCAGAAACAACCCGACCATGTCGTCTGCTGCAGTTGCTTTTCTTCCGTTTTCAAAGTACCGTTGTGTTGGTTCTTTTTTCAAAGTCACAAAACAAAGAAAACACTTATAAAATAGTGATTGCTCTTTCAAGAAATCTAGCAAATCACCTCCAGTACTGAAAACAAAACATTAAAAAAGAAGCAGCTTTTACAGTCCCACGACTTTCCCACGTCCAGCACCTCCGATTCAACACAGTCAGTTTAGGGAGGCACAGAACAGATGAGAAAGAACAACCAGGGTCGAGAATCAGGAAAATGATCAAATTGGCACAGCTGGAACTTATTCCTCCTTATTATGGAAACTGGAAAGCTAAATCAATAAATTCCTTGAAGGAAATATAAGCTCGGTGGATTTTGAAGAATTCTAAAGCAGACTTGCAGTCTGCAAGGTTAGATTTCAAGGACACTGTGGTTTCTACTCCCTGGGCAATGTTCTCTGCATTCCAATAACTCCTGGTTTCTGTAAACCTTGGTCACTAGGAGGTTTGGTGGGAAAGGAAAGCGTATAACAGAAAGGTCCATTTATTTATTGATGCGAGTGAAAGAACGGCAAATCTGCCCCCGGATAAAACTAGCACTCAGTTGTCACTTTGTGTTTCCCGTCTCTGTTTACATCGTTTATGTTGGCAGCCGGCTTCTTGTGTGAATCAAATCCAAGAGGTCTGTACAACAATTGAGAAAACCATTAACCGAACAGTCCAGAATACTCTGAACCAACTCGAGAAAGACTGTGAATTGATCATTAACACAGCGGATTGTAAACTGCAGGAGAGCAGGTGAGGCTTTAGTCTGAATTATAATTCTGACTCAAATAAAGGCTTTAAGCTTTAAATGTAAAGATGGCATTATCAGTTAAAGAACACAGAGGGGCAGGGACTTAGCAAGGAAACTTTGAGTTAATAGAGACAATGTTTCTGTCTGTCGTTTCAGTGAGCAGGCCTCCAGGAACAGGAGAGCGTGGATCATGTTTATGTTTTTCAGCGCCCTAGTGTACCTGCCTCAATTATCACTGCTGACAAGTTTTATCATTTCAAAAACATCAAGAGAAAACCTCACGGATATCATCGGCACCGAGATGGCGAATATTTTATTCATCTGGGCGGTATGGCTGTCTTGGTTTCATAAGCCTTTGTGGCAGCAGTTCGATGTCTGATTTCAATTCTGTGTTGAAGGCATGGTCCTCCTTTGGGTGACTGAGTAAATTGTGAATGGAGAATATGAAGTTTAGAAAGATGAGACATGATCAGATTAAGGCACTTACAATTGTGCAACACGTTGATAAGAGAAACTGCAAGAGATTGTTTCCTCCTTGTGAGGCGTCAGAAATCCGGTATAAAGCCTTACAATAAGACGTTGATCACGTAATGAAGAGAGATTTATTCACTCAAATACTGTAAAACCTCTTGGTAATGCCTGCTTCATAGCGTTGTGAACGTTTAATCGCTGAATGTATTCTTCATTGGAATTGATAGATTACTCACCGTTTAAATGAAACCAAGGTTGGTGTTAATGGGCAGGAATGCGGAATACGGTTTGACATCGGCAATGTTTGTGTTGAATGGTAGAACTTAGGCAAGGGGCTGATTTTTACTCTGGCTTTATGTCCTAATGTTCTGTGCTAACTGCAATCAAAAGTGCAAATAAGGGAGACAGCTGCAAATACTGGAAATCTGAAATAAAATAACAAATGGGAAATTCTCAGTGCAGTCAGTCAGTCAAACATACTCCTGGGTAAAGAATCGGAATTTACTTCTTCGACAGAAACTGTTCATCCACATGACCCGTTTCTGACTATTCGTTTCCCCTCGGTAATGTCAGTGTGTCTATTAATGGGAAGTGGTTACTGAATAACACAGTACAGTACCAGAGCTGCCACCTCACCCGTCCCTTGATGTATCCCTCTTACTAATACAATACTTTATTTTCTCTTTCCCCGAGTCACTTATACTGATGATCCTGCCGCACATGCGAGTAATTTCATTTTGTTGTGTGTTTTCAGAAAAGAAAAAGACTCCCTCATGTTTTCGTTGTATTTCATCGGTGACTCAGATAAATTATGCGCTCTCCCCAACACATTTATATCTTTCTGATAATATGGCACTGACTATTTTCCACATTACTCTCACAGATGTCTCATATGGGTTCAATATCACTTCCTCGCTCTTGTACTCTCTGCCCCTATGAATAAACACGAGGAAAATGTCTAAATTATTTACTGCTCTCTCCCCCTTATCCTGCCACCTTCAATGATCTGTGTACATGCGGCCCCAGGTCCCTTTGCCTCTGCACCCCCCTTTGGAATTGTGCCCTCTGTCTTTTATCTTCTTTCAATGTTCTTCTGACGAAAGTGCTTCACTTCACTTATCTCTGCATTGAACCTCATCCGTTCCCGCTCGGCCCACTCTATCAATGCCCTTTTGGAGTTCCAGACTGCCGTTCTCATCGTTTACAATTCTTCAAAGTTCAGTGCCATCTGCAAACCCTCCCCTCTTGTGGTTATTCAATACGTTATTTTGTTTAGAAATATCCAGATTGAACGTCAGTACATCATGATTGACGAAACTGGGAATTACACAAAAGAGAAAACTTGTGAGATTTAGCCCTCTTTAACTTGTTCGCTTGCTCACTGTGATATTTTGAACCTTCTTTTCTTATGCACAGTGGTGTGTTTCTACGATCTGGAATTGGTTAACTGGAGAAAGTTACCTCCTGGCTGTGATCACGTTGACCGGATTCATGCTTGTCTCAAAGATCCTTGCAAAGTGTTGCAACTGGTAAATGTTACTGTTTTGATTTGGGGATGGGATAAACTGACAACAAACAGACACATACTTTAGGATTTGTTTTAGCATCCAAAAACACTTCAGATAAGATATTTAGGGAACACCAAGGGAGGAAACATTCCATCATTCAGTGAATCGGGAGAGTTATGAAAGTATATTGATAAAAGATGCAAGAGAGGCTTCATTAACAGAATATGAGATTTGGCGTTGGCGAAAGAGATCTGGAGAGAGAGAAAGTACCACAAGATGAGCAAATTCTATTATCGTTGCAAGCGTTGGACGATGCCTGTCTATTGACAGTTTTTGCAGGATGTTTGTGTCCTCTGCCTCGGCTAGAATTTATTTCTGTTCCTTAATTGCACTGAAAACTTTGTGGGGAGCTTAGATTTTAAGCTGCTTTTCTCCGTGGTGTGTTATTCCATCCCCAGTGCAGACAGAAAATGAGTTTGATTCAAAGACATAAGTAGTAAGGATGCAGTGTAGGATGGAGATGAACATGCACGTAGTGGTGCTCCCATGTACCTTCCTTACTCGCCTTTCTATCTGGTAGTAGTGACGACTTTGGGAAGTATTACTCAGAAGCTGTGATGACTTGCATCATGGATTTTATTTTTTAGATTATATTCACGATGGTCCATTGGTTGTCATGGCTGTGATAGTTGATGTTGTTGGATCAAGAGAACTATCGAGAGAACCATCCAGTTGTTCAATTATATAGTCTTAAAATACATAGGTGTCAGACAATATAACTCTACACATTGCGAAATTCCATGGTTTTTCAAGATGCTATCTGCTTTCCAAACCTTTAAAAGAAAAATGTATTCTGTTTATTTTCTTTCTGCACTCTGGAGGTAGATAAACATGGGTTTACAAGCATGGTCCCCGGACTTCAGGGTTTAAGTTATGAAGCGAGATTACACAAATTGTCCCTTTATTTTCTTGATCTTAGAAAGTTAAAGGGTAATCTAGTTGAGGCCTTCAGGATATTGACAGGAAAAGACAGGATGGTTAAAGATAAACCATTCCCACTATTTGGAAATTCTAGAACCAGGGGGCATAGCATAAGAATAAGGGCCAGACCATTCAGGAGAGATGTTAAGAAAACCATTTCTGTCCAGAAAGAGTAGGGGAGGTTCGGAGCCAACTTTGGCAAATGGTGCCGATGCCAATTAATTTTAAATCTCAGTGAGACAGTTCTTTTCTTAATCAATGGATATGAGCCCAAGGCAGGCAAATGCGGATAGACTACAGCTCAGCCATGATTTGATTGAATGGTAGAGCAGGTTGAAGGGGCTGAATGGTCCACTCCTGTTCCTTGTTTCCTCTGTTTTCACGCAAACTCACTCACCCACTCCCTTGGACTCACTCCCTCACACACTCACTTTCACATACTCATGTAATCAATCACTCACTCGTTCACGAACTCTCTCACACACTCACTCAATCTTTCACTCCCTCTCACACTGCTTCAGTCACTCACGCAAACACTGACTTTCCCGCACTCACTAGCTCAATCACTCAATTTCATTCACTCACTCTATCACTTTCACTGACTCACTCACTCATTCACTCACAAAGTACATATAAATATAAGTCTGTTTAAAATTTATTTTGAAATCAGTGACATATAAGATAATTTCTTTGGGGGTTCAGGGAAGTTCAATAACGTTTGATAACGTTCAGAAACAACAGGAAATTTCTGATCCATGGAATTTTTCCTTGGCATTGTTCAACTTCTATCTTTATATTTTTAGCTCAAAACCGACCCTATCAAGGAAGGAGAGAAAGCAACTTCGAGCAAAATGCGATTATGTCCAACGTGTTGTGGTTGAAAAAAGGGTAACTATTGCCTTTCATTGTTTCCCTTCACTGATTCTGAAATAGTTCTTGCTTTCCCTATGATTTATCTCAATCAAATTCCAAAGAAATAGGTGTGCATTTGTGCATTTCATATCACTACATATTCAATATGCAGGGTTACGCTCCTTGGAGGAGGGTGACATTTAAGAATGAGATTAGGAGAAATTTATTCTTTGTGAAGTTTGTGATTCTTTGGAACTCCTTGTCAGAGAGAGCTGTGAGGATGGGGACAGGGGGCAAAGAGTTTGGGAGAGAGGGTGGGAGAGGGGGGAAGAGTGGGAGGTGGTAGTTTGTCGGGAAGAGTATTTTTAAGACTGAGAAAGGGAGTTTCTTCAATAGTTGGGGAAACCAAGTGTTATGGGAAAAGGCTGGAAAGTGGACACAAGGAATATCAGAATACCCGACAAGATGGTATTGATTGGCAGAGCAGACTCAAGTGGCCGAATGGCCTACTCCAGTTGCCATTTCTTATGCTTTTGTGGTCTGAGATCATTACTTCTAGCATCTCTCCTTTTTCAGGAACATCTTTATGAGATGTATCTCCAACAGTGCATATCGGAAGAGGAAATAGATTAAAACAACAGATTTTTGCTGGAGCCTGCATGAAAAATCTGACATGATGCAAGTTCTAGATCCGTACTTTAATGAAAATATGTTACAAATACAAAAGTAAACTTGTCACCATTCGACAGAAACCAGGTCGTCAGGCCTGTCATATGCACTTGACTGTTCAATCCACTATTTCGAGCTTTGTCTTCTTGTGTGCAGAAAAATTGTCACGAGAATTTCTGACCCTTCTCTGTCTGTTTTATCAAGCATTTCCACATATTTCATTCTTCTGTTTGACTCGGGGTCATAGTTGGCCACCACTTTAACCATCAAATCTGAAAGTCAACGCCTCCCGGAGCTCATAAATTATCAATTTTGGACTCAATCACAAATTTTAGAAAATGCATTTGCTTTTCTCACCATTTTATAAATTTATAGTCCTCGCCGTGTCATTAACGAGAACTGCAATCATGGGCTTCTCGAGCTATTGTTTTAATAAACTTTATGAATGGTTCTTTGTGCTCGATGTCTGCATATGGATTTTCAAACATATGGATGTGTCTTACATTTCTGGTGCAATGGGGTCGATGCATTCTAGTAACAGTGCCAGGTTGCTTTTCTGCTAATGAGTTATTATTCATTTCAGGTGAAAATGTGCTGCTCCTTTGAGGCACTGTGTGCAAAGCATTTCTGGTAATGGAGCATAATGAAAATCTGTAACAGAGATTTGGGAACAGGCTTGCTCAGCAAGTATGCTCTTAAAGAGCCTACTTTGAGGGTAAATTTAACTCCAGTGATAAAGTTATTTCAATCCATAGAGACTGTGACAGTGTGTCCTCTGAGGTGTCGTCTTACTACATAAAATATGAGAACAAACAATTGCATTAGGCCCAGCGTGCCTCGTCCATCATTGTAGGTCATCATCGACATCCAGGCAGCTTTGTCAAGAATGCGCCCATCACATATCCCTTGATGCCATTCATATTCATGAATATGTCAATTTATGTCTCGAAAACGTTCCATGATTGAACTTACAGAGACCTAAATGACCTCAATTACAGGAGGTTATAGACACACTGGTCAGATATTTGCAAATGGAATTTAATCTGTATAAACGTGAGGCAGGAAAACAAAGTAAGAGAAATAGCAGGATCCTTGGAAGCACTGACGTTCAGAGGGATCTTGTTATGTAAGGACACCAGTCCTTGAAGTTATCAGGAAAGATGGTAGAAGTGGATAAGAAGGCATTTGGTGTACTTGCTTTTGTTAACCAAGGCATAGAGTTTAGATTTATGCTGGATCTGTATAAAAAGTTGGGTAGGTCAAGTCAGAGAATTGTACGCATTGTAGGAGGGATCTGATTGCACTGAAGAGAATGCAGAGGAGGTTTGCCATGATGTTCCCTGGGTGGACAGTTTGCGTTATTATGAGAGATGGGACATACTGGAGTTGTTTTCATCAGAGCAGAGGGTATTGAGAGGAAACATGCTTTCAGTGTATAAAGGGGCACAGGTCTGTTAGACAGGAAGAAAATTCACCCCTTGTGGAGGATTAATGACCAGGTGGCATCAACTTAACTTAAAGGTAACGGCAGGGGATACGGAGGAAATTTGAGGAACATTTCTCATCCAGAGGGTGCTGGGAGTCTGGAACTCACCGCCTGTCATTGTGGGAGAGGGAGAAACCCTCATCACATTTAAGAATTATTCAGGTTCACACCAGTGATGCCAAGGTATACAAGGCCACTGGCTCAGTGCTGCAAAATGGGATTAGAATAGGAGGTTTAGGAGGTTGTTTTCGGCCCGTTCAGACACAACGGGCTGAAGGGCCTTTTTAGAGTGCTGTAGACCTCTACGACAACAGGACACACACCCTGACACATAAGCACCTAAACACACACACACACACACAGACACACACACACACACACACACACACACACACACACACACACACACACACACACACACACACACACACACACACACACGTAAGGAGGCTCAGACAAAGTCATCCCCTTTCCCTCCCCCCACCCCCACATGCGCACATTCACATGTACATTCTCTCACACACTGAAAATCCATGCCGAATGGCATTATCTGTCTACCTGCAGCACGTGGACTGCAACAGGTCTGTATCAGTATCAGCTCAGTATCACCGTCTCAGGGGTAACGAGGGACGGGCAATAAATGCTGATGAGCCAGCAATGCCTATGTCCCAAGTATGAATAAAAAATGCACTCACACTTAGACACACACTCACATACCGAAAATTACATATAGGCAGACATCAACACACACAACTGCAATATACAGACAAGCACAGATGCACACAAAAAGACTACCATGCACACACCCACACACACACAGAAAGGCAAACACATAAGACTGTAATGCTGAACGTTTTAGTTTATTTCTTTATTCCCCGACTTCTGTACCTAAGATTTTGTATTGGTACTTTGTAACTAAGATGGAACAGTGTCTGGTGATGTTATACACTTTTCATTATTTTTTTTATCCTGTACTTGAGTACACGGGACAGGAAAATTTAAATCTAAATCTAAATTTAAATATCAATGCTGATCTACGCAGCAGCATACAGCAATCCATGGACAAAGAGTATACAAACAGATACTTACACTCCATGCACTCAGACTTAAAGACACAAAGTCCAGCAGAAGAGCCGCATTACAGTTGGTCAATAAGCTGTAAAGTTGCTAAACGAGGGGCCGAATGGATTCTCCATGGCATTGTGGGTGGCCATAGATGATGCTAATCTGTGTAGGGCACTCTGTGATTGGTTAGGACTGGAACCATCGATGTCCTTGTTCCTGGACTTTTCAGGTTGGACCACATTCTTGGATTGCCTGAGGCAGTTGTCACTCAGAGACTATTGCCATCAACTGGACAGGGGAGAGGCGGGTCAGCCTTAACAAACTTCCCATCGGTTGTGCCAGCTACTGGTCAAAGTTCAGCCTTTGTCCCGAGGTGGCTGGTATAACAGGTCAGCTTCTTGCTTAGCCAGTGCTCTGAGATCAAAGTTGAGCGTCGGTTTATCTTTTGTATCAGTCTGTGGCTTCAGTGATCTGATTGGCAGGCCTCAGTCGCTTTATTTCTTCATTAATCGAATACTTGCTGTGACAGGATATTTCAACATCTTCTCGATCTGCTCTCGAAATTTGGACTGAGTCAACCCATAAATGAAGGTATTTATGCTGCAATTTAGATTGAGCAGCATCCATCCAATTTGTTGAAATATAAATTCAGAAAGTGTGTAATCTGCAGGATTTGTTCCTGTAATTTTAGAGTATAAGAATTCGATAACATACACTGACCACAAGACAATGAAGCTGCCCGATATGGTGAAGAGTAAAATGACAGACTTCCTTCTACTCTCCATCTCTGGGTCTCGAGAATTCTTTGCATTGCTCTGACCTCTCAGTCCTTTACGTACTCGACTAGTTACTAAAATGTGTTGGACTGTCAGAGCATTGATTAACAGAATTAAAGTGAATGGGAGCAAAGGGGTTAAAATCCGATCAAACCAATCAAATCCCACCCATCCGGGATCAGCATAATAGCTTGGTTTCACAGTACAGAGCCACGGTACACTGTCAATTATCATCAATGGTTCAAATGTAAAGTAGTATGGGATGTTTCTTAAACAGAGCAGGATGCAGGTTACTGTGAGAACCAAGGCTGCAGTTTTCCCGGTGCAATATTTCACTTTCAGCTTCTGGCAACAAATGGCCACAAATCGATCAAAGGAGAAAGCGACAGTGAACCAGACAGAACAGTCTGTAGTTGCAGAAGCCAGTACAGTTTTGAGACTACACACAGGGGCAATATCCAGGAATGTCCCTGGGAAATAATAAAAGCTGATATGCCACAGTACAGCATTTATCATAATGACTATGAGATCCGCCAGTGCCATGGCCACCAGATAGCGTGTTGTGCATGTTGAGAGGCCACACTTTCTGCGGGATAGGATCACAATCGTCAGTAAATTAGCTGTAAGAGAGGGAATGAAGAAGAATCTGGAAATGACTGAACAAAAATTTTTCATATCCAACCCAAATATTATGGTTATATTGCAAAATGAATACAGGAATTCAACGAAGTCGTCACTTAATCTGTGCTTGACCCTTTTCTGACGTACAAGAGAGTTGGTTATTTTGCAATGAATGTGGTTATTGCATTCCTAATGTTTCAAGCAAATAACTGTTAACTTGGAAGAAGAAGGAGCTTGTAAAATATAATAGGGGGAGGGGAAAACAAATGGCATTATTCCTGGGCCTCTTGGAAATGCACAGGAAGTGTCAAGGAGTCATAAAATCATAGAGCTATACAGCACAGAAATAGAGCCTTTGGTCCCACTCGTCCATGCCGACCAGATATCCTAAATAAATCTAGTCCCACATGCCAGTATTTGGACCATATCCTTTCAACCCTTCCTATTTATATCCCCAACGGAATTCCTTTTAAATGTTGTAGTTGTAGCAGCCTCCACCACTTCCTCTGGCAGCTCAGTCCATACGTGCAGCACCCGCTGCATGAAAAAAGATGTCTCTAAGTTCCATTTTAAATCTTGCCCCTCTCACCTGCGCCCTCTCGTTTTGGACTCTGAGGGTCAAATGTTTAGTGTCATTGTGTTGTGACAAGGATATCAGGATGGACAATGTGACAGAAAGACATGAATATGGGGTGGCGTTGAACTTGCTGTATGTGGCAGGTATGTTGGAGGATGCGACATATAATCATTTCAGTGGCAGTACAATGGGAAATTGTAACAAAGAAAAGTAATATGACAGAGCTGCTGTGAAAACATCATAATGACGATATTCAGCTTAGGACATATTATGTAGTATACATGTAAAAAAGGTAACGACAAGGAGGGTAAATGGAAAAATGGATAAAAGGCAAAAATATTGACTCTGTAATTAAACAGGCACAAAATTGAAATATGATAA